ATTTAGCTAATAATTTATATCATATGATATATATCATTTGACCTAAAAATAGATCGCCTCAAATTTAAAGCTAGTTTAATTTATTCAAAAAAATTTTTGTCTCAGAGCCCCATTTTCCTAGCAAACCTCCCATATGATTTACTATGTCTCGTACCTCAATTTTAATAGCAAACAACCCAAATAAATATAGTGAGTGATACATATAATTCTCAATAAGTCGTTAGAGTCGACTCAGCCGTCGACTCTATTTGAAATTAACAACCGTAATTTATTTATTAACTTTTAAAATTATTTTGTAAATTTAATTATTATTTCAATAGATTATTATAAGTTTTTCCCATTCGGCTAAAAATTTGAACTTTTATTTAATTTAGAATTTCGCGATGTTCTTACATTATGTCACAGGTCAGTCGGGTCAGTCATTTAAAAATTCTGTAGTAGATTCTTCTTGGTTTTTGCAGACTCAATTCTGACTCCAACGTTTGTTAACACTACTTGGAAAGGTATCTATTTTTTACTCTGAAATCTTGGAAGACTTAATTTATACCTTTCCGAAAAAGTTTATACATCGCAATCATTCGTGCCCCATCACCGACTATCATTTTGCTTTCATCATCATCCCCATAATAATTTCTTCCCGAATCTGCAAGCATATATGATAGTGCAGGTGCTTTCAATTGAAATACAGAGATGAAGTCTAGGGGATAATTAGTAAGTACAAAATTTTTTTAAAGGTAAATTGGTAATAATCAATTGACCGGATTTCCATGATGCAAGCATGATCGCATAACTTAAATTCTATTCTTTGGGCTACGTACGGTGTATGTGATAACATTGATAAGTAATAGCATAACTCTTGTTTTCTTAAAGCTTCTTGTAAACGAAACAAACAAACTGGTATTCGTGATGCGATCATAATATCTAATTTCCAAAAGCTCCAAATGACAACCGATACTTGGACCTTTACAAACATATAATAGATCACTAAATTTTACAGGTAAGTAAATTTACTCTCTTTATGTTAATAAAGCAAATTTCAAACAGCTACATCGCCATTTCATCGTTCAAACAATCGAGTATTCCTAGATTTTTCTTATTTTTTTGGTATTTAATACATAGGAATAATCTTTGAATTAATTGATAATGCAATAATAAATCCATTTTATCATATAAAAAAAAAAAATGCTGTAATATTACAGTAAACCCATATTTCATACATGTATTCCGAATGAATTTCTTAATTGAAAAAAAACGACCATTTTGCTTTTTTTTTATTTTAAAAAAAACTTACTGAATTTGGATATAATATTTGGCATAGGGAGATTTTATTAAGTTATATTGTATTAAATTAAAAATCTTGTATTTACTATAGCAAATCTCAATTTTTGAAAGTTAAAATGTAAAATTGAATTTTAAAGTTTATTCGTTATACATAAATACAGTTGAATTTCACTATAACAAATCTTCATTTCTGGAGGTTACAATTCGTTATAATGAGAAAATTTGGTAATTTTTTATTGAATTTTAACAATTTATTCATTATATAGTAATAATACCAAAATTATATTCAAATTTGGTATGTGATTATGATTATAAGTTTGATAATGTAAAACAAATAAATTTAAATAATAAATAAATAATGAATTAAAGTTACAAAGGTATGCTTGCTCTTAACCAAATATAGATTAACCTATAACTGTTGATTCTGAATACCACATAGAGGTGGCAAGCTTTGTTCAGGTTTTTTTTAACGAAATTTGGAAAAAAATTTACAAAAAAAAAACTGACTGAAAAGAAATAATGGAAAGATAAAGGAGAGACTAGTTAAAATTATGAAATTTGAAAAAAAGAATGAAATAGTTGGAAAAAAAGTGAAAATAGTTGAAAAAAGCGGATTATTGAGGTGATTGTGATTATGCGGAATTATCAGGAGGAGGAAGAATTAAGGATTCTAAAAAATTTAAATTTAAATTTAGATTAAATTAATATTGATATTAAATTAATAAATTTCTTACCTTGTTTTCTTTCGGCTAATCTTACAAGCCTTCTTTCTTGATTAAATAATAAAGTTATATTTGAATTATCAGATAACTTATATTATAAAAAATATAATAGCTCATATCTGAATTATTAGAAATACTATAAAAAATAATAATAAAGTCATATCCAAACTATTAGAAGTAACTTTTATAATAAATAATAATAATAAAGTAATATTTGAACTATTAAAGGCAGTTTTATAGAAATTACTAATAAAGTCATCTCTAACTTTTCAGATGTGATATTTTTAATAAAGCTGATCTGAACTATTATAGATAGCTTTTATTATTATATTCAAACTATCATAGGTGAATAAATATTTATCTATGTCTAAAGATATAAAATATTAGTTTAATGAGTTGATATTATAAAAAGATTTAAATAATATTATATTATTGGATAATTTATCAAAAGATTATTATCACAACTATTACTAAAGTTAAGAAAATTGAAATTGGATTTATTATTACCAACTGATGCAATTAACCAAATGAAAATTATATAATAAGAAGTTGCATAATTAATAAATAATCTAGCAAATACTTAAATTTAATAGAATTTGAGACTAAAGTGAAATCTACAAAATTACATATAAGTTTTCAAAATTAATATATTATTGATTTCTGAAGATTCTGAAGATATAATTAAAAATACATTGCTAAAGAATACTACTAGTAAAGCTTAACTTATAACACAAAATAGGATACTATATTAATCTTTTTGAAAGTACATAACAGCAAAATGTCAACCTAACTAAAATAGAACAAGATCAAGAAATTGATGTTACAATTACTAGAATCCTTTTAAGATCTGAATCTAAAGAATAGAAATTCCATTTTAATCTCCTAAACTTACATCTAAAGCTAGATTTGCTAGATTTGTTTCACATTATAAATAATCATATGGGTGATATGTTATTAAAATTGAAATATAAGACATAGTAAATCATATGATCTATACCTCAATTTTAATAACACACCACCCATATAAATATTATTCAGATTTAATAAGATATAATACCAATATGACTTTTGAACAATTATTTTAAATTCTCAATACTTGTAAGAATTAAAAGATCAGATTAATAAAGGTAGAAAAGGAAATTAGAACCAGTGTAGCTTATATACATATAATGATAATAGCAAATACATTAAGAAATTTTTATTGTTACCTTAACTATTTTTTAGAAATATTTGGCAGCAAAAATTTTGAAAGCAGCCAAATTTACTTATAAAATTCTTTCACACTTTACATATATAAAATACAAATCTCTAAATAGAAAGTGAAAATTTTAATTATTGGTATATTAAGTAAATTATTATTATAGCAACATCGTAAACAA